ACGGGTCGCGACACCAGTTGCGTTTCAGACGTCTAACGGGATTATCGGGATTTTTTTTTTTTTACTGAACATGAAATACGAAATAAGCGTGAAACGCTATTTTGTGGAATTTTAAGCGCTTACCATTTTTTATTTTATCTTTTTTCAATTATTTTAAGTTCATTAAAGTTTATTTTTAAGTTTGCTTGAGTTTCGGGTTAATATAATAATAGGTAAATATACATTATTTAATATGTAGATACATTTTATGGGGTATGGTCGAATTTCACTTGGGTTTAAAAAAGGTAAAGGTCGAACTACACTCGGGTAAAAAGCAAGTAGTGATCGAACTGCACTTGGGCTCAAAATAGTATTTCAATAAAATTATCATGCATTTGAAGGGGTTAGATTTATTTTATTTAGTTACATTTAGTAATCATTGGCGTGGTTAAAAATAATTGTTTTATACATCACATTTTGTTAATTATATATATTTACATTATAATTGTTATATAATACATTATATTATATTATATTATACATATTATTATTATTATACATTTTTTTTTTTTGTAATCGTCAAATTTAACTATCGTCATTATTATAATTCTTTTTTTGTCATTTTCATTATTTTTTTGTAGTAATAACTAACTGTATTCAAAAATTCTACTCTGGTAATAAGCTTCTGAGTATATAAGTCAATATATTTTTAAATATTATTTATTTTTTTCTGGTACCGTTTTGTTGATGGTTTAGTACCAATGTTCTGCATTAAAATATAGGTGTCGATTTGTAAGTGTGTCACAAACAATTTGGATGTGGTGATGAAAATAATTTATTGAACTTAACATGGAAAGACTCTCGCTTGCATTAGTAATTCTTTAACTGTAAATCTTATCTGAAGCCCAAATATGAGGCGGAAAAAGTCCTTCGTCAGAAATATAATCATCAACTAAATAGTCACTAAATTCTTTAACAGTGTAATTTTCTGGGATAGTTAACATAAAATTATCTGTATAAGATTTGACAACTTCAACTGCATTTAAAAAACTTAATCCAAATATATTATGAAGCCATTTTCCAATTTCTGTTTCAGATTTGTAATCAGTTGAAAATTCTAAATTTTGTATTTTACGATACCATGATTGTGATAAATAGAATCTGCAATCTATTATTTTACATAAAGGAAACATTCCATTGATTGCATTATGGATTGCTTGTTCAAAATTCTTGTAAAAATAAATTTAGCATAAATATTAAACCAAATTCATTGCACTTTTCAATAATTATTTTAAACATATTGGTGACAATAATATTATCTGCGTTATCTATATGGCATGAACTAACATATAATGATATTAAATAAGTATGCCGTAGCGTTCTTCAACAAAAAGATTCCTAATATTTTTAAAGCGTTTTCCATTTTAACTCTTTTTTTGAACGAGTGCAGTTCGACCTATACCTTTTATCAATCCAAGTACAATTCGACCATTTATTTGTAGGTAAAAAGTGCAATTCGACTATGCTGATTTTATGTATTCGAAATAAAAATCACAAATGCATATTATAGGAAATTATTGAATCATATATTTTGAATAATGTTCTTACTTGCGTACATGCATACGTAACATTTTAGTCCAAAAAATTGAAGTTCAATCAAAATTATATTTGGGTTTCTGACATAAATAGCTACTTTTAAAATTGTTTTAGTCGCATGAAGTAATATAATATTATTTCAATTCCAACATTTGATGTGTATAATTGGTGCTTAAAAAGATTTTATGATGTGTCTATCTGCGGATTATCATAAATGAAACAAATTATTCATTTCTCGCGTGATAATGTATTTACGACTTATAAGGAACAACTATTAATTTTAAATATTTGTATATCCAATCATTAGTTAGGCGATATAATTATTTTATGTTATCAATGTATTGAACGTGAACAGTTTTTCATGAAAATCAAATAACAAAATGTTTTTAAGTATCAACTTTTGTTGTACTACAACATATTTCACAATTATTATAACGACGTTCATGTACGTGTTTTCAATGGGGTTGGTGATAATTATACATACAATATTAAACGACTAGAATACATATGATTCATAAGCAAAATTTCGGTTTCCGAAAAGACATTAAAATAAAGAAACCCATTGCAGCCTACTTATTTGTTGAATTCGATTCGTCAACAACGTGTGGCGATTTTTTCAGTCCACCTATCGGCGGTCTCAGAAAATGTGTGATACTCAAACACTAGCCGCGTTTATGGTGATAATAAAAAAAAAAACCGATAATTTATTATTAGTACGTTCTTTCCGATGTACATCTCTCTCTCTCTCTCTTTGTCTCGTTTTCTGTGTACATAAACATAAAAGTGCCGTGATACAACGTTCCGAAAATTGTCGCGTACATACGACGCGATTGTCAGTGTTCGGCCGATTGAATAGCGCATGCCCCGATTGAACACATTTGTATAGCGCACCTATACCATATATGTGTATGTACCGTGCACGGTACAGTGTAGTGGGTGGCAAATTCCAAAAGAGAGGAAAAAAAGTCTTCCGACGCGGCAACCGTCGTCCGGTAACTACCGTTTAAAATCACACTCGGGGGCTCTCAGCAGGTCGTCCCGCGCGTCCCTTTATTCACGTACAAATACACACACACACACACACACACACACACACGTCAGCACGTGTACGTATAAAGTGAGACGTTTATATTACGCACGGAAAGACGGTACAAACACGTTTATTATTATATTTATGAGTGTTATTATTATGCACTTCCCCCTGGCATCATTGTGCGTTATTGCACTATGGAAACGTCTCGAACATTGCTCCGTGTGTAATTTACGGTGGCCGTCCGAACCCGCGCGGGAAAACATTGACACATATCCATTGGATACGGGGCAGTGTTTGTATCCCGTACCGGAGCCGCGGCAGTAATACGTGTGCGCATTGTACGCGCATCGGGACCCCGGGCGGCGCGCTATCCCTTGTCGGCGGCGGTACGCGTGCACGCCGGGAGGCCGTCCGCCGCAGAACCGCCCCCGCGGGTCCGACGCCGACGCAATGTGCGGCTCGCCCGACCCTCCTCTACCACCCCGACCGACGTCCGCACTGTCAATAAGCGGTGCGCGCAACTTGGGGAGTGTACCGTGCGAAGGGTTGAATGATGTGCGTTGTTCAATGGACCATCCTGTTGCTGAATCTCGACTGCGCATCGGTTGGTGGTGCTGCATCGGATAATGGTTCTACGTACGTTTTTCACCGTCGAGTAACGTCGATAATATAATATGGAAATTTACAATAAAGTGAGAAAACTGTTATAATTTTTAAACATTTCCTTATATTATTCTTTCATTTTTCATATGTTCGTAAAGTTGATCATACAAAATAACTTATAAAATAATGGTTCAATTTAGTGGGCCATCTTAACAAACATATTTTTCAATCACTTTTCTTCTCATTGGTAATTCAATTCTAGAGACTAGTAGAGAAACATTAACGATTTGTTTGTATTTTCGTGGGAAAAGGAATCAAGATTTTATTTATTTTAACGTATATAGGAAATAAAACGAGAATAAAAATATTACTAAAAATGAAAATATGAAAAATAATAAATTAAAAAGTGGTATACATTATGAAAAAATGTAATAAACACCATAAAGAAGAAAACAAATGCCTTAAAATGTTTTTTAAATATTCATCATTAAAAAGAGACTCTTGTTAAATATACTGGACATCCTATTTAACACTTTAATTAATGTATATAAAGAAAATAAAAAGAAAAGGTACAAGTTTTAGTAAAATGTTATTATAATATTGTCTCTACGTATTATTTACGTATTAATTTATGTAAGATTTTTTATATTTCAGTTGACTTTTAATCGTAAAGTTAGTAGATTTTTGATGAACATATTTTGACTCTGGTCCGTAACGCGCATATCCCCATAACATATTGCCTATTTAACCAAAAAAATTATACTTATATATATATATTTCTACGTGTTTTACTGCATATATAATCGATGGTGCGTCTTTTCCAATATCGTGTACGAACTTTTGTGATTTCAAAATCATGTTTAAACGCATATTATGAGATCATATATCGCACATGTTCAGACCTGCGGTTGTATATTATACACCACGAATATGTTGTCGGTACTTGCCACGCACCAGTGTTAATAATCTCAGGACTGACAAGACTGTGTGAGCATATTGTAGTATTAGTATGCCATGGGTGGTTCACGCGCGGAAGGATAAATGCGGCGAGATGCAAGTTTATTATTTTTTATTTTTGAATTTTTCGTCAGAGATCTCGAAATATCCCGCTTCTAGGTGCGCATCCCTTTGTAACAATGATAAAAATAAGATTTTTTCGGAAGGGACCTTGTCAAGGGTGTACTCTATAACGGTGTTTTTCGGGGTTGCTAAGGCTATAGCCACCCCCGAAACGACAGAACGATGAAGAATTACGTTGAAAAACAGTGTTTGTACTCCGTCACCGAACGCTTACAGAAGCTAATCATTGATCATTGAAACCGTCGCGGAAAAATACGTTTCGCGCGACAAGAAGAAACGTTTTTCCGACATCTCTCGCGGTTGTCTAACGGTGTCTGGGTAGGTATACGTTTCCATCACGCCGTGTCGCCGACGACGTCTCCTCTAGTAACTGTCTTCGTTCGCGCGTAAGCCATCGGCCACGATAATACAACCGTCGTATTTATAACGGCCGAATGGAATTTTTTCCATACGCATGACGGGCACTGCGGTACAGCCGAAATACCAATCAACAGTGGGCAATAGTACTAGTGGTAGTAGTAGTAGTCGTAGTAGTAGTAGTAGTAGTAGTAGTAGTAGTAGTAGTAGTAGTAGT